TTATTGTTATTGTTATTGTTATTATTATTATTATTATTATTATTGTTATTATTGTTATTATTGTTATTATTGTTATTATTATTATTATTATTATTATTATTATTATTATTATTATTATTATTGTTATTATTGTTATTATTGTTATTATTATTATTATTATTATTATTATTATTGTTATTATTGTTATTATTATTATTATTATTATTATTATTATTATTGTTATTATTGTTATTATTATTATTATTATTATTATTATTATTATTATTATTGTTATTATTGTTATTATTATTATTATTATTATTATTATTATTATTATTATTATTAGGGAAAATGGCAGTTTTCCCCCCTGTGTTGTTTACTTATAGCACATTTTCCCCCTATGTTATTTATGTAATAACTTTATCCCCTTCAATTGTTTTTGAAAGTGGCTATTTCATCCCTCTCCGTTAAATAAGTGTTAGGGTTGTTAAATATGAGGGTAAAAATAACATTTCAATTATTATTTCTATTATTATTATTATTATTATTATTATTATTATTATAAAATTATTATTATTATTATTATTATTATTATTATTATTATTATTATTATTATTATTAATTATTAATGGAGGGGTCGTTCACCGCCCAACGCCCAAATACACTCCACACTCTAATTACCGATAGTTTCCCTCTCTTCTACCATGGATGTCTAACCCTAATTCTCTAAAATCTAGCAAAGAACACGCAGAAGCAATCGGAAAAAACTAACGCAACCATGAGTAGCAAGAGGGTGCTTATTTTCAGTTTTCAAAATGGAAAACTGTGTTAGTAAACATGTTTTCTGTTTTCTATTTTCAAGTTTCCAGAAATTTCCAGTTAGTAAACGGCCCCTAAGTTTTTTTTTTTCTTGAAACCTTATATCTTCATTGCATTTGTATATGATTATATTTTAAGAAATTAAAGATTGAAAATTTTTGAAATGGGAGATTTGGATAGTGCAATTTGTATGGCTGCTTACCCATATTTGTTTTTTTTCTTTTTTCTTTTTTTGAAAAAAAAAAAAAGTCTTCAAGAATAGGGATTAGATGGTAAAAATGAGAGTGCCATTTTGCTGTAATAAGGCCGTAATAGGGATCAAAATTTTTTATTTATGTTTCCAGGAATGTGTGCTTATTCTCTTATTTGTTTAATAGGGAGTGTCAATTTGCCTATTTGTTTTTTTACTTTAATAATGATAATGATTTTTTTATGTTTCCTGGACTTGTGATGTGACACCCCGAAATCCAAATTGAATTAAGGGATTAATTAAGTAATTAATCCTATTTCAATTTGTAATTTAATTTCTTAAATTCCTGAAATTTATTAGTTGGGGACTAGTAATTGACTAGTCAACCCCAAAGTCAAAGTTGTACCTTGAGCCTTGTAAGGAATTCCCTTGTTCCTTACACCTCCTTATGTTAGTAAGGGTATTCTTGACCTTTCACTTGGTGTTAGTATTGTAACCTAACCTAGTAGACCACCTTCATTCTTTCCTTACACTTTCTAAAAATCTAGCTCCACCTTCTCTCTAAAAAGGTGGGTAGCTTTTCTTCCAAGCCAAGTTGGATCCTTGCCAAAACTTCAAGAGTTGCTTCCAAGATTCAACCTTTCATATATTTGGGCATCTAGGAGGGTAAGATCTAAGTTCATCCTTTGTTTTTGGTTTTATCTAAGGTGTCTTTTCTTAAAAATAGGATCTATATGATCTTTTGGTGTGTTCTTGAAGTGGGTTTGGAAGGTGAGCCTTGAGAGGAGCTTGTTGAGGTGTAACGTGAAGTCTTTAGTCTACAAGAGGTAACCCATGCTCTACAAATCTATTTTGCTTACCTATATGAGATTTCTTGGATTCTACATGTGATTTTGCTATGAAATGTGAGTGTTTATGCATTGTCTTGTGAAAATGCATATCTAGAGCTTGTGTTTAGGGTTCATTTGAGCCATTGCTTGGCATTTCCTTTGATTCAAGTCATTTTGTTGTATTTGGTGAGATTTGGCATGTTTTGGACTTGAATTTGAGCTTGGAGTTGAAAATCCCAGAAGGGATTATTTGTGGTACAGGGGTGTACCCGCGGGCGGAACGGCGGGTAGGGGTCCAACCCGCCGCCCACCCGCGGGGTACACATTTTGGGTAGCCTGTACCCGCGGGCGGAACCGCGGGTAGAGGCCTACCCATGGGCCTACCCGTGGGTACGTGTTCTGATGTTGTTGGGGATTTGTTCCCCGTGATTCTTTTGACTCGGTATTTGGTATTTTGACTTCTTGATGTTCTTTTGTGGAACTATTTGAGTGTCTTCTTGATGTTTCGTATGTCTAGAACTATATGGTAGGATTCCATGTAGGTTTTGGTGTCTTGAATTGTGCTAAGTGTTCAACATTGTGTTTCGTTGAACCGTGATGAGTTTTGTGTGTTCTTCGGAACTACGTTTGGTTTATCCGTTTGATAAGCATGCTAGTTTGGTGTTTAAATGCTAGCGTATGTGTTGTTTGTACCTTCCTATTGGTTGATGATAACTTGTGTTATTCATCGTTGTTGTTGTTGGACTGTGATCCATTCCTTGATTAAGTATGGTTTCATATCTTCATTGTGATCCGTTGATTGATTCCTGTTGAGGTGTGATGTGTGCGTGGCTTTACCTAGATTGCACGATTAGTGGTATGGGACACTAGTCACCAAGGTATTGCAGCGGTCCTCGTGGTGGCCGTGACGTGATTATGGAGTTGTGACATTTGTGTAAGGTTCACGTGATTCTTGGGTGGCATGTGTTGCCGTGTGTGTGTACGGTACCCTCGTGTACTATGAAATTGGTGGTTTGTTGGTGGGGTACGACGGTCCAAGGAGGGAAAAGGTTGGACAAAGAAGTACAGGGGTCTTGGAGGTAATGGTTGGAAGAAGATACAAGGTTGGGGGTAGCCATAAGGTTGGAACCGGGCATAAGGATGGCATATCAACTCGTGATGGGTGATGTCACGAGGGCTTGTGTAGCTGTTGTTGTGAGTTCTCTTCTTGTGACGTGTGTAGTCACAAGGGCATGTGTTGCCTTGGCATATGTTGTCGTTGTTGTGTCTTATTCCTTTGAGTTATGCATGTCGGGTGTTGGTCTATTGTGTGATGATAGACCATACCTTGAGACTTCTTGTGAGTCGTTGTTGTTCTTTGTAGTTTTGGGATGTGTTCCCGTGTTCTTGTTGAGAGTGTTTGAGTCTTGTGTTGCCTATTACTCTTGGTTTTGGACTTGTATATATGTATTCCGTTTCGCAAATGATTTTGTATATACACTATCTATGTATGATACTTAACAGGTATTGGTGGGTTACCAGCATTATTCGTTGACCGGGCGTCGTCCCATGTTTTATTGTGTTCTTTCAGGTGATGTCTAAACGAGTGCGCGGTCTAGTGCTTGCTAGTATAGCTTCTCCCTTTCGTTTTGATGCATGTGTGCCAGCTTAGATATAGAACTTTGAGACAATGGGTTTAGATGTAAACATTGCAGATGTTGCCGGTGCGTTCATCCTTTTGGTGAACGTGGCATAACACCCCGTGTTCCGGATTATGTCTATCTATCTATATTTCAGTCTTCCGTTGTGTTTGTTGTTTAGTTCAGTTATCTGCATGTTTAAGGCTTTTAAATAGCATGTTTTTAAGGGGTGTTACATGTGATATATCTCTTGTTTATTTGTTTATTTAATTTAATAATGGTTTGTTCATGTTTCCCGGATTTGTGATATATCTTTTGTTTATTTGTTTATTTAATTTTAATAATAGTTTGTTTATGTGTTCATTATCCACTATAATTCTTTTATATTATATATTTTTTATTTAACCGAGTCTAAATATTGTATTACTATTTTGCTATTATTCCTTAGATGTTGGGGAAGATGAGTATATGTACACTATAAAGCTATATTATGGAGGTGTTCTAGTTGTACATCCTTATTTAGACTATTTGGGAGGAAAGATGGATTTTGATTATTGGGCTGGTGATCATGGTTCTATGTTAGGTTTAAGACAAATGATTAAGTCATTGAGATATGATGATAGAAAAGTTCAATTTTGGTATAAATATGGTGATTGCACTACCTCACTTAAAATAAAGAGACCAGATAGAGATAAGAATGTGATTGACCTTAACTTAGAGATACCTAAAAACAAAGAAGTGGAGATAATTGTTGAGCATTTGGAGAAAGAAAACTGGAACTATGATGTTAATGTAGACTATTATATTGATGAAGAGTTGCAGAAGATATATGAGAAAGTGAAATGTCATGATAATAGCAAAGAATTAGAGGTTGAATCACATAAGTATGCAAGTGATGAAGAGAAGAAAATCAGTTTGGTGCTACAAACATTACTGCAGTAGAAGAGAATCAGTTTGGTGCTACAAACATTTCTACAATAGAAGAGAATCAGTTTGGTGCTAGATTTGAAGAAGATGATGAAAAGGACTATGTAATTTCTGAAGATGAACTTAGAAGTTTATCTTCTGATTCAGAAACTGAGTCTGCAAAACCTTCTTTAGTTTATAAGGAAGGGGATGTGAAGAAACCAGGGTTCCAATTGCAAGTACACATCATTTTTTCTAATCACAAAGAATTTAAGTGGGCAGTTGAATGTTATGCAGTTATGAACAAGAGGGTAGTGAAGTTTGTCAAGAATGAAGCTCGGAAAGTAATTGCCAAATGTAGAATTGATCATTGTAAGTGGGATATGTATGCTTCAAGAAGTAACCCTACTTGTGCCTTTACACTTAAGACAATTATGCTAGAACACACATGTCCAAGCCAAAATGAGAACAAAACCATTCGTTCAGGTTTCCTAACCAAATTTTATAAAGAGGAATTAAAAGATGATGACACATGGGGTAGGAGAAAGTTCCAGAAGCATGTGCAAAGAGATTTGAAATGCCAAGTGTCAAAGTACCAAACGTATAGAGTAAAGAAAAAAAGCAAAACAAGCTTTGACTGGCACTCAAACTCAGCAATTTGAACAACTGAGGGATTATTGTGAGGAGTTGAGACGATGTAATCTAGGCAGCAGTGTCATCATTAACTTAGATGAAAATAATAGAGTACGTGATAGGTGTAGGTTCAAAAGGTTATATATATGTTATGCAGGCTGTAAAGATGGGTTTTTAAAGGGTTGCAAGCCACTTATCGGGGTTGATGGTTGTCATCTAAAGGGATATCAAAGAGGTGGACAACTACTTTCAGCAGTTTGTGTTGATGCGAATAATGGTATGTATCCAATTGCCTTCGCAGTGGTAGAAGGAGAAATGAAAGAGAGCTTGAAATGGTTTCTAAGTTTATTAGATAATGATCTAAAAATTTCAAATAACCGTCACGCTTGGACTTTCAATTCTGATAAACAAAAAGGGTTATCACCTGCTGTTGATGAACTATTTCCTGAAATAGAACATAGGTTTTGTGCAAGACATTTACATCAGAACTTTGTAAATGATGGTTTCTTTGGGCAGCTACAAAATCAAGCTTTTTGGGCAGTTTGTAAATCAACAACAGAAGCTGAATTTAAGACAAATATTGATGCAATGGCACTGTTGAATCCAAAAGCAGTAAAGTGGTTAAGTGAAAGGAGTCATAGGCATTATTGTAGAGCTTTTTTCAACACTTTTATTAAGTGTGGCATGATATTAAATAACCTATGTGAATCCTGTAATAGTTCTATATTAAATGCAAGGGATAAACCTATTTTGACGATGTTAGAATCTTTGAGAATTCACCTAATTTCCAGAATGCAGGCCAATAGAGATAAGATGTGTAACACCCCACTTTTTCTAAAACTTAATTACAATTTTAATCCATAATTAACATAACTAAGCAGCGGATAAATAACTTAAATAAGATAACTAGTGGGAATGTCACCACCACAACCACCACTCCGTAGTGATTGCACAGGCTAAGTGTAGAACTAGAAAATAAATAAATAACTAACCATCCATCATACTTAATTAAAATATAAGGGGGATAAACACACCCCGATGTCTACAACGTCGAAAAACAACAAAACATCATAAGTCTAGAATCCGGTAGATGAAATCATAAGCAAAACATAAAGAGTTCAGACTTCTAATCTAATAGACTAGTCTAACTCGATTACTTCGCCACGCTGGGCCCACCAGAAAGGGATTTTACAAGCAACACATAGACAAATAGGAAAACACCCATTAGCACGAAGCTAAGTATAACCACACTCAGCCCTGTAAAGTACTATAGAATATACTTTGGAAAACATTTGATAACATTCATAAACAACAATCTCATCTCATAGGCAACTATAATCACGCCACATACTTTCTATATACTTGCAACCTATAATATCAACCGGCATGCTTCAAAACAAAAGACTTAACAACAAAGATATTTCAACATGTAAAGGTCACAAAAAACTCATCAAGTAACTCATGCTTACAAGTAATATCATTCTAATAAACCATACGAAAGTTATCTTCATGCTCTCAAGTTCTCATAATGTAAACTGGATTTACAAGACTTCAAATGTAACTAAACAATCATGCTCGATGTACAATCTTAAATCAACATTCTCATTATGCAATCTCAAGCAATAATATACTCATATGCAATCTCGTGCAATACTATAAATATACTCATACGCAATCTCGTGCAGTACAATACTCATGCAATCTCGTGCAATACAATACTCATACACTCGTTGTAAAATAGAATACTTTCTGTGGATGTCTCATTGAGTCATAAATGACTTGCTTTCTTTCTTTCTTTCTTTAGAGTCGCAATGACTCACTTCTTTCTTTCTTAGAGTCGCAATGACTCTTGCTTTCTCTTTCTTAGAGTCGCGATGACTCATTCTTTCTCTTTAAATGAACGAGGTAGGAACTTCACCATAGCGTGAATGAACCTATCCGGGCACGGCGTCTAGCCGACCTAATACTCTGCTCGTCCACCGAACCACTCTCTTGGTTCTATGCTCAAACTCTGTGGAATCAGGTATCGAACTATTAGCGTGCACACCCCCTGACCAGGATTCCAAGCCTGGCGGGCAGTTTCTAACCTCGTAACGTGGGAATACACCGTGTTACATATACTGGGATCGCAATGTCCATAAAATCATCCGAGATGACATAGTCCAAACGGGATCCTCCAAAACCTCACCAATATAGATAATACATAAATATATCCCTCATGCATGCAACAACTCTACAACTTCTCAATGCATCAAATAATGATATACTACATGCTTATGGATTTTTGAAAGTAATACTTGGGCTCACGTTGGCCACTTATGCATTTTTGAAATATGATATATGTGAGATGCAAAATACTCTACAACATGCTCCAAATCCATGTATATAATCCATAAAATTCTCAAGGATACAATATCATACTCGGTTTGCAAGATAGCAAATTCTACACATTTCTATCAACAAAATATGCTTCAAATCTCATTGATTAAATATCACATTTTAGTCATGCTTCCATAATAAATCATATTTTCAAAGTGATCATGCTTCTCTACTCAAAACAAATATAACATCAGTCAACAAGGCAAAACATTTCTTCTTCACAGTGAACTTCAAATACTCATACTATGTATCAAAACCACTACTAAATCCATCATAACATGCTCATTTTAAATCCAAATTCAAAGAAATCAAAGCCAAAACGTGCATCGAGACGGTCCTGGGATATCGAGCCACAAGGGCCCGTGACACCTAGCCCAAAACGACACGTAGCTGAGCCACAAGGGCCCGGCCACTGCACAAAAACCTCTCAGATCAATACTCAGGGACCTGGGGATGGACTCCTCATGAGCCGCCCCATGTAAGCCGTTACATGGCTGGGCCTAGGCAATGGCCCTCTCCTAGGGTCGTGCCCTAGGCCCGGTTGGCCCCGGCTCTAGCCGGCGGCCCTCTTTGTGACAACCCAAAATTTCATTTTATAAATCTGGTATTAAGAAATCCCAAAATAGCCTTTTTCACTCCATTAAAAATTTTTGCGAACAATTGGTGTTTGAATAAATTATTTTTCATTACATTTTAAAGTAATTGAACACCAAAATTGATTTTATTTGAAAATTCCTAAGTTTTCGGGTACTTCGTGTACCAAGATTTAAATCGAGAAATTTATCTGAGTGAGACCGGGAGAATTCAAAAAGATTTTAAACAAGGGTTCATCTAATTAGCTTTTTGAGAAAATTCATTTTCAACCCCAAAGTATTTAAAATAGCATTTCTATCCCTTCATTCATGAAGCATGGTGGATCACAAACCATCTAAAACTTGTCTGATTCCATTTTCTAGCCTAAATATTTACCACTTTGCCATCCACCAATCATAGGAGATCATCCTAGGGTTTTGTGCTCCTATATATTGTGCATTTATCAGACTTAGCCTCATTGTTTCCACCATTGAGCTCCCTTCCCTGCAAGAGCACCAAGAAATCACAGTACGTTTTCAACCTTCATCTCCATCCACTCATTCACCCTTCTAGCTTTCATCATTCTCTGAGATTCTAGTTTAAGTTGGTTGTCTGGTTTGTTGAGATGTTTAGAAGGTGAAGAAGGTTGTAGCTAGCTAAGGAAGAAGGTGGAAACCAAGCTGGAAGAAGAGAAGTCAACAAGAGGTATAACCCCATGGATTCCTCTTTAAAATTGGCTCTGTGAAGCCTTAGTTTTGATTAGAAATGAGTAGAAACTATGAGTTTTTGATGTGTTCATGCTTGGAAGTGATTTTGTATTTGTTTGTGAGTTGTTGAGATTGTTTTGGACTTGTTTGGATTGGATTTCGCAGATGAAAAAAGTTCTGGTGCACAACACAGTGTGCACCAGATCAGATGAACGGCCTTAGCCGCGGCCCATCAGGAGGGCCGCCGGCTAGAGCCGTAGTGGCACGGGACTAGGGCACGGCCCTAGAGGAGGGCCGTTGCCTAGTCCCAGTGAAGTAACGGGGTGTGAGGGGTGGACCATGAGGAGTCTCACCCCAGGTCCCTGACTTTGATTCTGAGAAGAATCTGTGCAGTGGTCGGGCCCTTGTGGCTCAGCTACGTGTCGTTTCGGGACGAGTGTTACTGGCCATTGTGGCTCGGCTCTTCGGGACCGTCTCGACACACGTTTTGGCTTTGATTTCGTCGAATTTGGATTTAAAACGAGTCTGTTATGAAGGAATTTATGAAGAATTGCTACACAGAGTGTATATTTGTTAGTTCACTGTGTATGAGAAATACTTGACTATGTGATCTGATGATATTTTTGTGTTGAGTAAAGAAGCATGATCATTTGAGAATATGATTTATTATGAAAGCATGACTAGATTGAGATATTTGATCCATGAGAAATGAATCATATTTTTTTGCTAGAATGTATAGAATTTGCTATGTTGCAAACCGAGCATGATATTATGTTCTTAAGTAATTCATGATATTTTATACATGATTTAGAAGCATGTTATAGAGCATTTTGGCATTTCACATGTGTCATATTTGGTAGTAGTTTGTTGTTTGCCTTGTATGCTTGTTTTTGCTTGTTGCTTTGTTGTTTAGTTAGCTTAGTAATCGGTGTTGGTTGTCTAGTTCTTAGTTGTTGTCTAGAAGTCGGTGTTTGTGTTGAGGCTAGAGTTCTTGATGCTCAACCTATTCGTTTGCTTAACTCTTGCCAATCCTTGATTTGAAATGCCTTCTTTCTTGCTTTGACACCTGGCCCGAAACGACACGTAGCTGAGCCACAAGGGCCCGACCACTGCACAAAAACCTCTCAGATCAATACTCAGGGACCTAGGGCGGGACTCCTCATGAGCCGCCCCATGTAAGCCGTTACATGGTTGGGCCTAGGCAACGGCCCTCTCCTAGAGCCGTGCCCTAGGCCCGGTTGGCCCCGGCTCTAACCAGCGGCCCTCTTGATGGGCCGCGGCTAGGGCCGCTGCTTTGATCTAGTGCACACAGATAGGTGTTTTCATTTGCAAAACTCAATCCAAACATGTCCGAAACATCCAAAACATTATCAACACTTCAAATACAAATACTAGATCACTTCCAAGCTCAAACACAACAAAAAATCCACCATTTCTACTCATTCCTACTCAATAAAATAGGCTTCATAGAGCCAAAATCAAAGAGGGAGTCCATGGGGTTATACCCTTGTAGATTCCTCCTTTTGTTGGGATTTCTCCTTCTTCCCAACTAGCTACACCCTCCTTCACCTCCTAGACAAGACAACCAACCAAAACAACAAGCCTTAAGAGCTAAGTTCTCAGAGATGGAAGATAGAATTCAAAGAAGCTAGGTGAGGAATGAAGAAATGGAACTTACTGTGTTTTCTTGCAAATGTTGGCTTGGGGAAGACAAGGAAGAGAATCAAAGAGGCAACATCTGATAACATTCCATTTTATAGGGCTCTAAACCCTAGGAGAATCAACAATGATTGGTGGAGGGCAAAAGTGTAATTTTTATTGGCTAAAATATGAGGCAGGAAAGGGTTTTGGATGTCTAGTGGTCCACCATGCTCCATGGACCAAGGGCTAGAAATGCTATTTTAAATACTTTAGGGTTGAAAATGAATTTTCTCAAAAAGTTTTCTAGATGAACATTTGTTTAAAGTCTCTTTGAATT